GGACTCCAGGATCATGACCTGAGCCGAAGGCAGTCGCTTAACCAACTGAGCCACCCAGGCGCCCAGTGATGCACTTTTTGGTACATGTTATCACAGTAAAACGTTTACATGAAAAATTCAGTAATTCAAAAAAAAATTCAGTAATTCTACTTGGCAAGAATTTGTTCTAAAAAAAAAAATAAATCCAACAAGAACAGAACATGAATATACAAATGTGTTCAACTTTATATTCTTTTTTTTAATTTTATTTTTTAAGTAATCTCCATGCCCAATGTGGGGCTTGAACTTAAAACTCCGAGATCAAGAGTCACACGCTATACCGACTAAGCTAGCCAGGTGTCCCACCTCTCTATTCTTAACAGCTTAAAAACTGGACTCGGGCGCCTGGGTGGCTCAGTCGGTTAAGCATCTGCCTTCGGCTCAGGTCATGATCCTGGGGTCCTGGGATCGAGTCCCGCATCGGGCTCCTTGCTCTGCGGGGAGCCTGCTTCTCCCTCTCCTCCCCACTTGTGCTCTCACTATCTCTGTCTCTCTCAAATAAAATCTAAAAAGAAAATTAAAAAAAACAAAACTGGACTCAATGTAAGTGCTCACCAAAAGCAGATTGGTCAAATATTTTATGGTATACTTAGCCAATTAAAAAAAAAAAAGCATGTTGCTTTTGAAAAGTGATAATTGTGTATCTGACATGAAAATATAGTCCACATATGATATCGTTTAAAAACAGCTTGCTGGGGCACCTGGGTGGCTCAGATGGTAGAGCATGTGACTCTTTTTTTTGTTTTGTTTTTAAAGATTTTATTTATTTATTTGACAGAGAGAGAGAGAAGAGAACAAGCAGGGGGGAGCGGCAGGCAGAGGGAGGGGGGAAGCAGGCTCCTCACTGAGCAGGGAGCCCGATTCAGGGCTCTATCCCAAGACCCTGGATCATGACCTGAGCCGGAGGCAGACACTTAACCAACTGATCCACCCAAGCGCCCACCAGTCGAGCATGCAACTCTTGATCTCAGGGTGGTGAGGTCAAGCCCCACACTGGCGCCTACTTAAAAACACAACAGCTTGCTACAAAAATAGCATGACCTCATGCTGGGGGAAATATGTAGACACATACAAATGTATATAAGTAGTGAAAGGAAATCTGGACTTATTTTCCCTGAAATAATAATAGCAATTGTCCCTCCCAGTAGTGGGATTAAAGTGTTTGTTTTGCTTTGATTCATCTATATTTTCCGAATTTTCTCTAATACGCAATGCATGTTTATTAGTCAAGTAAAGAATATTTTAAGCACACAATATGGTCCCATATGGGACAGCCCAGGAATCTCGAAGACATCGCTATGGATGAATCATCCTTGGCAGAGTAGCATGTCCTGCGCGCACATGTTCTTACTTAATCCTCTGCGTGACCCTAGAATGGACAGACACTCCCATTTCACAGAAGAACAAACTAAGGATCTGAGGGGATCGGTAACTTGCTGAACGTCGCTGAAGTTGAAAGGCAGACCCAGGATTTGGGCTCAGTTTGTTGGGCAGAACGTGTGTGGTTTCGTGTTTGTTCGTTTGCTTACTGACACCCCATGCCGCCTCTCTTTGTGTGATCAAAGGCAGCTCTGAGCTCTCAACCGCAGATTAAAAAAAAAAATACAATGATCTGATGAAAAATATCAGAAATTACAGCCCAAGATGATCCTAAACAACCTCTATGACAGATGAGTTACCTTCAAATGCTAAGTGAAAGAGGCCAGTCACAAAGGCCACCCATTGAATGATTCCATTTACAGGAGATGCTCAGATAGGCAAATCCAAAGTAGACCAGGGCTTGCCTGGGGCTGGGGAGGTAGGCGGAGTCATGCTAATAGGTACTGAGCTTCTTGGGGGGTGGGGGGCATGAAAATCCAAAGTTAGATTGTGGTGATGGTTGCACAACC